AGTAACACAAATCAGAGTGGCCTAGGAGACAAGACTATGCACCAAAGTAAGCATTTTACAGAGAGATTACATCACAGGGGTGTTGGGACAATTAGCCTATGTTTACAATACAACCTAATGGTGTGATTGCCCTGCTCGGGTACACATACTCGCACTAGCTCTCATTGAGCTAGCACAGGTATAGATAGCAGACTAGCCATGATGCCACTAGTAACAGCAGCGGAGGCAAGGCTGAGTTGTGCCAAATACAAACTTGCCTGAAACCAGGGGCATGTGCTTGGCATGGCTCAGCCATGCCTCTTCTGCTGGTGCCTGTGTTACCACAGCTACGCTGCTATTTATACACAGGCTAGCTCTATGAGAACTAGCATGAGTATGTGTGCATGAGCAGGGGAATCATTCCCCGAGCTCACAGGGTAGATGTAGCCTTAATTACTGTTTATAAAAGAGCTGTACACATGCTAAAACTAACTAATGCACACAACCTTTTCAAGAACTGTCCCCTGACATTTTTTTTAAATGGTATGCAAAGACCCTAGCACGGGGTGGGCAAACTTTTTGGCCCAAGGGCCACATCGAGGTTGCACAATTGTATGGAGGGCCAGGTAGGGAAGGATGTGCCTCCCCAAACAGCCTGGCCCCCTTCCCCTATCCACCCCCTCCCACTTCCTGCCCCCGACTGCCCCCCTCAGAGCCCCCAACCAATTCCAATCCGCCCTGCTCCTTGTCCCCTGACTGGCCCCTCCCAGGACCCCTGCCCCCTATCCAACCCCCCTGCTCCCTGTCCCCTGACTGCCCCGACCCCTATCCACACCCCTGACAGCCCCCCTGGGACTCCCACCCCCATCCAACCCCCCCTGCTCCTCATCACCTGACCACCCCCTCCTGGGACCCCCCGCCCCTAACTGCTCCCCGGGATCCCATCCCCTTATCCAACCCCTCCTGCTCCCTGTTCCGACTGCCCTCCCGACCCCAGCCACATCCCCGCCCCCTGACAGGCCCCCGGGACTCCCACTCCCAACCCCCCCTGTTCCCCATCCCCTGACCGCTCCCCCAGAACCTCCCCCCCATCCAACCACCCCCTCCTCCCTGACTGCCCCCAAGGACCCCCCCACTCCCTTACCCACCCCCCCGCTCCCGCCCCCTTACCAGCGGGAGCAGCAGGCCAGAGCGCAGCCTGTGCAGCGGCCAGGGGCGGCTCCAGGCACCAGCACAGCAAGCACGTGCCTGGGGCAGCAAGCCACGGGGGGCGGCCTGCCAGTCGCTGTGAGGGCGGCAGTCAGGAGGCCTTCGGCGGCGTGCCTGCGGGAGGTCCGCCGGTCCCGCGGTTTTGGCGGCAATTCGGCAGCAGGTATGTCAAAGCCGAGGGACCGACAGATCACCCGCAGAAACATCGCCGAATCCGCGTGACTGCGGACCATCCGCAGGCATGCCGCTGAAGGCCGCCTGACTGCCGTGCTTGAGGCGGTAAAAAACATAGAGCCACCCCTGCCAATACCAAGGGGCGGCACTCCACCCACTATTGGGGCGGCACGTCCGGATTTTCAGCGGGAGTTTGGCGGCGAGTCCTTCAGTCCCTCTCTTCCTCTTTGAGCTGCCGCCAAAGTGCCGCCAAAGGGGAAGAGAGGGAGTGAAGGACTCGCCGCCGAACTGCCGCCGAAGAGTGGAGCGGTGCGATTGCGCTGCCGCAGCTTTTTTTTGTTTGTTTTTGCCGCTTGGGGTGGCAGAAAACCTGGAGCCGGCCCTGGCAGCGGCGTGGCTGCGGGGAAGGGGGGACAGCGGGGGAGGGGCCGGGGACTAGGCTCCCCAGCTGGGAGCTCAGGAGCCGGGCAGGATGGGCCCGTGGGCCGAATGTGGCCCGCAGGCTGTAGTTTGCCCATGTCTGCCCTAGAATGAGCTCCATCTCATCGGCAGCAGGATGCTGGTGGTGACACAAACACCTCCTTTTCTTATATAAAATTAATCAGTTAAGCCTGGATGTTCCAAAGAATCACCTCACTGATGCTCCAAAATCTCAGGCCACTGTAATTAAACAATTGAATAATTAAATAGTAATTAGGCCAGAAAAAAAGTCAGTATCACTTAATAGGCCAGTGGTTAGGACACTCACCCGAGAGCCGGCAGATCCCTCTTCAACTCCTTTCATCCCATCAGAGTCTGGAAGTACTCAAACCGGAGGACTCGCGCATCCCAGGTGAGTACCCTCACCATTTGGAAAAATGCTATGAGAGAGGTCCTGCTCCTCCTCCTTTTCCTCTCAGCAGCCACTTTGTGTGGAGTTAGGCAGGTGCTAATTCATTCTTGCAAGAATGAGTTGGCACCTAAGCCACCTGGCTCCAGAAGAGGGGGTTCCTGGTTGTGGATTGCAAAGAGAGATAGGCACCTCCCTGCAACGTAGACTCTGGACAAGTCTACACTACAGCGCTACATCAGCACACTGATGCAGCTGCACTCCTATGGTGCGTCTGGTGAAGACACGCAATGCCGAGGGGAGAGCGCTCTCCCGTCGGCATAATTACTCCATCTCAGCAAGAAGCGGAAGCCATGTTGGTGGAAGAGCATCACCCACTGACAAAGCGATGTGGAGAACGCGAAACTTGCAATGCTCGGTGAGGGGGGGCTTTTTCACACCCCTGAGCGACTTAAATTAGATTGATTTATGCGGTAGTGTAGACCTGCCCTTAGATGCCAAACTCCATGATTAGATTAGGTGGGTCCCTGCCTTTATCATTCTGGCTTTTGTGGATCCCATCCCTAGGAGCCTCTCTCTCCCATTCATTATACCTATTACATTCCATATTCTGCTGGATGCAGGGTCATTCTTCTGGTGTAAATTAGTGTAGCCTAAATGCTGATGTAATTTGGGACACCTGCTAACGACCCCAAGGGACTACTGCAAAAATCTAAGATCACTACGGCTTGGGGAAGCTCTGACTACAGCCTTTTCTCCAAGTCATTTTCTTTACAATGACTGTGGATGTCATAGGAGCCATTATGACAACTCTTATGCCACCACAGAATCCCCCTAAACTGAGATCATCTTTCATGGTTGGTTATGCTGTTTTCAGAGCCACTTTCTGACGCTAGCCTGATACAAAGCAATCCTAACACAGGTGAGTCTCTGGGCCATTGTGTCCATGTACAGAGGTTATGCTGGTTCAGATTCCATTTGGGGTACCCACTGTGAATCCTGTTCAAGGCATTCAGGTAGGTAAGGGGAGAGGGTAAGTTTCCTCGAGTGGATTTTGGGCATGGTTATTACTTTTCATATGATAATTTATTTATATAGGTAAAAGGAATTCTCAGTCTTTCTGAAGAGTTACACACAACCTCTGAAGCCTGTAAATTATCTTCCGAATCAACAGAAGAAAGGAATATTGTACTAAATTCAGTTTTGTCTGCAATTCTATGAAACTTCTAAAAAAAGATTTCAGTTTTTGAAGTCATTTTCCTGCAATAAACATGCTGTTAATAGGTGCTCTACAGTTCTGATGTAGCCCCATCTGTATTGACTTTGTAAATTAAACTTTTGGTAGTCTTCCTTGAGACTATCTCTATTCAGCTTTGCATGTACTGTCAGAGTATTAAGTTACCTTTAGATTTGAATGTTAAAATAGTCAAAATATTAAAGTTCTTGTATGTCTTGAACTCACTTGAACAGTAATAATAAATTCTGTACTAAAGACAATACATACTTAGTACATTGTTAGTATAAGTGGAGTACAAACACAATATCACTTATAATGTGATATATTAATATACTGATTGGTTAGTTTTGATTGAGGCCAAGTTACTGAATATGGTAATTTACATGGATTGTGATTTTTAATATTTGTAAAAAGGGCATAGAGCAATGCATAGGTGCTTTTAGAATCTGTATTATGTGAATATAAAGAAAATAAATAAATAAAATTGTAAGGTGGATGTTTTAATTGTCTCAACACTCTGATTTGACTGGCTAACATGCAACACAGGAGTTCTCTAACAATACCTTGTACTTACCAAGTGAAATTGCATTACACATTTAATGAAATCTGCACTTTGGTTTTGCCTGCACATTCCTGCACATTTTTAACTTACAGTAGCAACAACAACCTTGGCACTAAGCATTTACTGGGGATTAATGACTCATTTGGGCTACAGCCCTGGCACAGGAGGGACCTCTTCTCCCAGTCAGTAATTAATTATCACAAAATGCCCTGTGTTTTAACAGTTATTGCTTAAAAACACATATTTTACAATGAATGACCCAATATATTTTACCCAAGACACTCCATAAATTGACAGCATACTAGAGTTGGATTAAGTGTTTATTATTCCTGTTCTTCAATTATGAAACTCACTAATTGGCTGTTTCTAGGCTGATCTGCAACAACGATCACCCTGTTCACATTCCTAGAAAATATTTTAAATGGAATATTTTTGTTTTTCACTGTCAATCTAATGTAAGGAGCTAGAACTTTATGAGGAAAGATTAAACAAGATAAATATGAATAGTTTGAATAAGCATCCAAAGGGAACATAGCAGTATACACACACAAAAAAGGCATTATCAAGAAAAATGGAGAGGAACTGTTTAGTTTGATACCTGGGATGAGGTAACTAGGAGTAACTAGGAACAATGGGGTGATCTTCCTGATACAAAGCTAATTAGATCATGAAGCCTTCCCTTTGGTGATGGAAGCTCCATAACTTGAAATATTTAAAACTAGACTTGACAAAAGACGGGGGGAAATAACTGCAGAAAACAATTTGGCATTGATAAACAGATGGTCTGGATGTCCTACTTGGTTTTTTCATCTCTAAGTACTATGAATCTATTACAACAATGGTATACTGCAAGCAAGGCCAGAATGGAATAAGCTCAGGCAAGAGGTATTTAACTGGAGCTGTAATAACAATTTTCATGTATTTATTAAAACATATTAAGTGCAGTAACTCAGGAAATAAAGATGTTAGCTACCCTGAGCAAAATATCAACTGCAGTTAGGTTTTCTTACCTCGTGTATATCTTTCATCCAGCTTGTTATACCTCGAAAACTGTCTGAGTTTGTTATGTCATAGACCAGAACAAAGCCACGTGCTCCACGAAAATAACTAGTACTAATTGTATGGAATTGTTCCTGACCAGCAGTATCCCTGAAATACACCAGAAAGGAGTCACTTGGTACTGCATACATTGAAAGAGTATGGATATGTTTTTTTCAGTGCAACTTAAAGAATACAGTCCCAATTTTGAGCTGTTTTCTGAGAGAGGAGGGGGAACTATGGTAGAGGTGGTAGAATACATGCCATTCTGCAGGGGAAGAGCTGGCAAACTATTTGGGGCATTTATGTTAATATTGCTGACTATTCTAGAGCCTATACTTAAATAAATAAATATACTTAAAAATAGGTTTTGTCTACATTAAATTTTTAACCACAGTGTAATTAAACTTATGTAGCTGCATTTGTACAACCCTTAGTATAGAATGTTTGCACTGGAATAAACTATGACTTCTACTACAGAAGCGTACTTTGGGGTAAGCTGCAGAAGAGCAGCATTTCAGCATCAGTGTGGCTAGATTAGGGTAGCTACACCAATAGCTAAAACCCTATGGGTGAGGTTTTCACTCTTGCCCTTGCCCCTTTGCGCTGGGTAAAGTGGTGTAAAGCTGCTCTAAAATGATTGGATCAGGCTGGGGGACAATTTCCCCAGCACAGACACTTTAGAAGACAGACGTAATGTAGTTTTCTAAGCACCCCTTTGTAAGACCTGCCAAAGGGAGAATGTTGGGGGCAGGCTGGGGTGGGAGGTTTAAGTTGGTGCTGGAGCCATGACATGCAGGCTGCAGAGATTCCAGGCAGCACTATGGCCCATATAGTTTCCTGGGGAGGCAGCTGTAATTTAGAAAGGCTTCCAGAGCTGTCTAGATTATGATAGAGCAGTGGTTCCCAAACTGGGGTTCGTGAATCCCTGGGGGTTCGCGAAATGTTACAGGGGGTTCTCGGGAAAAAATTCCCTAATGGCGGACAGAGCTGTGCCTAGGGATCCTGGGCAGCACGGGACCAGCAGCCCAGAGCCCCTGGACTTCCAAGAGCTAAGCAGATCAAAGCAAGCACATCTATCACACTGAGGAGATTTAAACTTCAAGACTCCTTATAAGAAATGGAAAGGGAGGTGGATATTTTTTGCTGTTTTTAAAATTAAATAGGCAGCTAGTATTGTTTTTAAAATTATTATGAAGAACAAGTTTAAGCTTTGTTGTAACGTGTGTTGTTTGCTTGAACTGCTCAAGATCTGAATGCTTGTATAAGAGGAACTCTTTGAGTTGGCTTCTTAGATACCTTCATGCTGTTTCACATCTGATACTTCTTGATGAAACACAGGAGACTTGTCTTATAACAAGCTTATTCAAAGTGATACAAGCTACAAAAGTGAGAGCTTGGAAGAGTGTTGCCATTTTCATAATGTAATAAAAATACTGTCATGATAAATAATTAATAATAAATAGTGTGTAATAAGCATGCCATAAAAACAAATTTTATATTTCCAAGTTCACTGCTTTTATAACTTATACTCAGGTAAAGAAGAAAATCCCTGGAAACATTCTTTTTTAGGAGGGGGTTCGCAAGACTTGACATTTTGGTGAAAGGGGTTCACAGGTTGTTAAAGTTTGGGAACCACTGTGATAGAGATTACAGGGCAGCCCAGGATCAAATAAATGCATAGATAGCTCAAAAGCCACCAAAGCCCCTCCTCCTACTGGGCTGTGAGTTCTGTGCTCGCAATTTAGATAAGCAGCAAAGAATCTTACCCTAAACGTAGACAAGGACTAAAAAAAACTCACCAGAATGCATCCAAACCCTCTAGCCATTGGAGATCTAGTGGCTGGAAACTCAAAAATTGGCAAATATATACAGAACCCACCACAGCTGCAGCCCAAAAACGCCCCCTTTTATTTAAAAATAAGATTATGGTGCCCGAAGAATCACCTTGCTAGTCTTCATCCAAAATCCTAAACCTGGCCCTATGAACATATGTTTGTAGGATAATGAAATATTTAAATCCAAATCTCCTGGCTTTTTCTTTTCAGTTTAACATTTTAATAAAGTTGCTTATATTTAGTATGGAATATAGGTTTACATTTTATCCATATGCTACAATAACTCAATGTTAAATGTTTCTAAGATAACTGTTTTTTAAAAAACATGTACTAGTTGTTCTAAACATGGCCTCTTCACCCTAATGCAAGTTTTAATATGATCACTACACTGTAGGAGGACAAATAATCAAAGCTGGACAAGATTTTGCACAGTATACAGTTCTATAATTTAGTTGGCTTTCATTTGTGGGACAAATTATAACTTACCATATTTGAAGTTTCACTGTTGTATCATTAAATGTTATTGTTTTTACTTTAAAATCAATGCCTAAAAGAAACAAGAAAATCTGTTACATGTCTTGAAATAACATTTATTTCTTATGGAGACTGTTTGTAAACAAAAAGTTATTTTGGGGATGTAGAGAAATGGAAGCACACCAACCAACCAACATCAACCAAAAATCATAATAAACCACTAATTGTATATACACAAAACAGAGGTGGGGAAAAAAGAATTATAAGAGTTCTTTTTGATATACATCAGTAATTATATTGAAATTAACTATCAAACTGGTCAAAGTTCTATACTCAGTCACTCATTGTGCATGGTCAACTCGGAAAGTATAACTACAAACCAGCATTAGCTGGCAAGTGACATGACAGCTGTTTGATGGCCCATGCACAAAACTGTCACAATATTGGCAATTTCTGCTAAGGGAATCAGTCCCATAATAACAGTGCTGTAGTTCTGCATGGAGGTTTAGTGACAAATGCTTACATGGCATTTGCTTGCCCTATGCCATTCTTTAGCCTTTACTGCAACATTACTGAAAAGAAGTGTCCAGGATTACATCAACAGAACTAGACGTGAATTAACTGAATTAATTAGGTACAAAGATAAGTGGACACGCATTCAAGTTCAAGTAAAGACCATATCTCTATACTACCCTTCCATCTAAACATTTATGCCTCAAAATCCAAAATGTTTTGGTACTGAAACCTATTTTGGACCTAGTAATATTGCAGTATAGTAATGCCTCTGCAGCCATTATACTGTTTTCCTTAAGGATGCTTTTCTCTATAATTTATCTAGTTTTTCATTACCTATATTATCACAATAGCACCCAAAATAGGTGCCAGACAGATGTATGGGAGAATGCATTTTTTGCCTTGAGGAGTTTACAATCCAATAAAAATGAAACTCCAAACATCACACTGGAGTCTGCTATCTACTGAAGTATGAAGGTCCAAAATAAAAAGATTGTATAATTCCCTGCAGTTATACAACTTTTTCAATGACTTTAGCAGTAAAATTTTAAAGAAAACATTTCAAATGAGTTTCAGTCTCAAAATGCAATATCCATTGAGAAACCTTTTCATTCTGTTCATTCATTACAAGTCAACTAGGAGAATACCTTAATGGGCAAAAGGGTATGTATTTCAGTCACATGAGCTCAGCTGAATTAGCTTAATAAAACTGAGAAGTCCTGTTAAAATGCAGGTTAACATGTCTCAAGTTGTGTTAGGTGGCCGTGTTGTAGCCTAGGCTTCTCACTAAGTTAAAACATATCTAGCTAACATGACTTCAAATGTGTCAGCCTACATCTCAATGGGGCTTTTCAACTGTGTTTAAACTAATTTGACTGGGCTAACACAACTGAAAAAGTACACCCTTTTTGCATGTCAAGAAAAGTCCGTATTGTGTTAAAGTGTAATAAAGAGATGTTGTAATGGACATCACTGAAGTTGGGAACCAGAGTGCAATTCTGTTTTTGGTGCTACCATAATACAGATAAATAAATACCTTACACCATAAAAGGATAACCTTATGACGAGAGATACTACATTTCAAACCCTAGAGGACACCTTCAACTGCAAGTTATCTTACCTAATGCTCATGAGTCAAGCCTCAAGCTATCAGAACCTACAGTACTCAGAAGTCTATGCCTACTATATTCTTGAACTGTTGTACCACAGCTGCTTTTTTTTCAGAAGTAAAATCAGCAGCATCTTTAGACTGTCTCGGAAGAATAGCCTTAATAGTCTATCTTCTATAGTCTTCAATTTGTAAATTTCTTCTTATCCTTTAGCTGTGGACTAATAGCCATAATTCTAGAAATCTCTCTTTAACTTCAATGATTCCAAAATAGAACAAAACTGTCCTTTGTAATTTCCCTAAAATAACTCTCCTCTGATAGAAAAGGAACATGAAAAACATCAGGTTTGTGGTTTCGGTTCTGGTGAAGCCTGTGTTTTAGACAGAGGGGCAGAGCTTAGGGTATGTCTACACTACGAAATTAGGTCGAATTTATAGAAGCCGGTTTTATAGAAAATTGGTTTTATACAGTCGATTGTGTGTGTCCCCACATAAAATGCTCTAAGTGCATTAAGTCGGCGGACCGCGTCCACAGTACCGAGGCTAGCGTCGACTTCCGGAGCGTTGCACTATGGGTAGCTATCCCACAGTTCCCGCAGTCTCCGCCGCCCATTGGAATTCTGGGTTGAGATCCCAATGCCTGATGATGCAAAAACAGTGTCGCGGGGGGTTCTGGGTACATGTCGTCAGGCCCCTCCCACTCCATCAGAGCAACGGCAGACAATCGATTCGCGCCTTTTTACCTGGGTTACCTGTGCAGACAACATACCACGGCAAGCATGGAGACCGCTCAGCTCAGCTCACCGTCACCATATGTCATCTGGGTGCCGGCAGACGTGGTACTGCATTGCTACACAGCAGCAGCTAATTGCCTTTTGGCCGTAGACGGTGCAGTATGACTGGTATCCATCGTCGTCGTATTCCTCAGTGAATTCGATCAGAGGCACGTGGGCAGACATGTTTTGTCTCCTGGAGACTCAGTCCTGTCGGCAGTCCTATTGAACCGTCTTGACGATGATGGCTAGCAGTCATAGTACAGCATCTTCTGCCAAGCACCCAGAAGATGCCGATGGCTATCAGTCATGCTGCACCGTCTGCTGCCAGCTTAAGATGTAAAAAATAGATGGACCAGATTTGTTCTGTATTCATTTGCTTCCCCCTCCCTCCGTGAAATCAACGGCCTGCTAAACCCAGGGTTTTGAGTTCAATCTTTGGGGGGGCCATTCTGTGTGACAGTTGTTTGTGTTTCTCCCTGATACACAGCCACCTTTGTTCATTTTAATTCCCTGTACCTGTAAGCCATGTCGTCACTCGCCCCTCCCTCCCTCCGTCAGACAATAGTTTTGCGCCTTTTTTCAGCCCAGACGCCATAGCACTGGGATCATGGAGCCCGCTCAGATCACCGCGGCAATTATGAGCACTATGAACACCACGCACATTGTCCTGGAGTATATGCAGAGCCAGAACATGCCAAAGCAAAACCAGGCGAGGAGGCGATTGCAGCGCGGTGACGAGAGTGATGAGGAAATTGACATGGACATAGACCTCTCACAAAGTACAGGCCCCAGCAATGTGCAAATCATGGTGTTACTGGGGCAGGTTCATGCCGTGGAACGCCGATTCTGGGCCTGGGAAACAAGCACAGACTGGTGGGACCGCATCGTGTTGCAGGTGTGGGACGATTCCCAGTGGCTGCGAAACTTCGCATGCGTAAGAGCACTTTCATGGAACTTTGTGACTTGCTTTCCCCTGCCCTGAAGCGCCAGAATACCAGGATGAGAGCAGCCCTCACAGTTGAGAAGCGAATGGTGATAGCCCTGTGGAAGCTTGCAATGCCAGACAGCTACCGGTCAGTCGGGAATCAATTTGGAGTGGGCAAATCTACTGTGGGGGCTGCTGTGATCCAAGTAGCCAACGCAATCAAAGACCTGCTGATATCAAGGGTAGTGACTCTGGGAAACGTGCAGGTCATAGTGGAATGCTTTACTGCAATGGAATTCCCAAACTGTGGTGGGGCGATAGACGGAACCCATATCCCTATCTTGGCACCGGAGCACCAAGCCACCGAGCACATAAACCGCAAGGGGTACTTTTCAATGCTGCTGCAAGCCCTGGCGGATCACAAGGGACGTTTCACTAACATCAACGTGGGATGGCCGGGAAAGGTACATGATGCTCGCGTCTTCAGGAACTCTGGTCTGTTTCAAAAGCTGGAGGAAGGGACTTTCTTCCCGGACCAGAAAATAACCGTTGGGGATGTTGAAATGCCTATCGTTATCCTTGGGGACCCAGCCTATCCCTTAATGCCATGGCTCATGAAGCCGTACACAGGCAGCCTGGACAGTAGTCAGGACCTGTTCAACTATAGGCTGAGCAAGTGCCGAATGGTGGTGGAATGTGCATTTGGACGTTTAAAAGCGCGCTGGCGCAGTTTACTGACTCGGATAGACCTCAGCGAAGCCAATATTCCAATTGTTATTGCGGCTTGCTGTGAGCTCCACAATATCTGTGAGTAAGGGGGAGACATTTATGGTGGGGTGGGAGGTTGAGGCAAATCGCCTGGCCGCTGATTACACGCAGCCAGACACCAGGGCGGTTAGAAGAGTACAGCAGGGTGCGGTGCGCATCAGAGAAGCTTTGAAAACGAGTTTTGTGACTGGCCAGGCTACGGTGTGACACTTCTGTTTGTTTCTCCTTGATGAACCCTTCCCCCTCCCCCCTTCGAGCACCGCTTACAGAGGCAATAAAGTCATTGTTACTTCACATTCATGCATTCTTTATTAATTCATCACACAACTAGGGGGATAACTGCCAAGGTAGCCCGGGAGGGGTGGGGGAGGAGGGAAGGAAAAGGACACACTGCAGTTTAAAACTTTAACACTTATTGAAGGCCAGCCTTCTGATGCTCAGGCAATCATCTAGGGTGGAGTGACTGGGTGGCCGGAGGCCCCCCCCACCGCGTTCTTGGGCGTCTGGGTGAGGAGGCTATGGAACTTGGGGAGGAGGGCTGCTGGTTACACAGGGGCTGTAGCGGCGGTCTCTGCTCCTGCTGCCTTTCCTGCAGCTCAACCATACGCTGGAGCATATCAGTTTGATGCTCCAGCAGCCGGAGCATATCAGTTTGATGCTCCAGCAGCCGGAGCATATCAGTTTGATGCTCCAGCAGCCGGAGCATATCAGTTTGATGCTCCAGCAGCCGGAGCATCGACTCTTGCCTTCTGTCAGCAAGCTGACGCCACCTATCCTCTTCAGCCCGCCACTTGCTCTCTTCAGCCCGCGATTCAGCCCGCCACCTCTCCTCTCGTTCATATTGTGCTTTTTTGCACTCTGACATTGACTGCCTCCACGCATTCTGCTGTGCTCTGTCAGCATGGGAGGACATCTGGAGCTCCGAGAACATATCATCCCGAGTCCGCCGTTTTCTCCTTCTAATCTTCACTAGCCTCTGTGAA